CTGGAGAATAATAACATAGGTCTGGCTATAAAGTGTACAGGCATGGTGACTCTGGGCAAGGAAACCTGGTAGTAGATACGGTAAAAGTGAAACTGAAGGAGTAAACATGTAGGAAAAAAACCAAAACTGCAAAAGATCAGGGCTCTGAGAGCTCCAATAGGCTTTAACTGCTCTAGGCAGCCTCCATGGGGCCTCTGTCCACAGCTGTGTCCAGACCCAGAAGCCTCACTTCAGCTCCAGCTTGGGTCTGCTTGTGTGACCCTAACTCCTGGAGAGACCTCAGACCTGTGTTGTAGGTAGTTTGTCTCCCAAATGGATGACTTTAGATGTTGTTTATTGCCTGTCTTCTGTCTTTGTTGTCTGGGTTGATTTCAGACCTGTGTTCTAACCTCATTTCCACTTCTTTCTCTTGTACAGGCTGGAGAGCCTGGACCGTGTCTGGACCTGGTTCATCATTTTGTCATCTCTGGGACTACCAGGGGGCCCTGTTCCCTGTGTGATCTGTGTCCTGGGTTCAGATGTGGGACACTGCTGTGGTCACTGCAAGGTGCTGCCTGTACTGGGTCATCCCCACCTTGTGGTTTGCACTACCTCAGGGAGCAGTTGGCCCTTGCTGCTTCCTGACACGATGTAAATCATTGGATTCTAATTCATTGGAATCGGTTGGGTGGTAGTTGATAACATGCATTTAACCAAGACTGAACTAACTGAGCCTAGCTGTTTTACCTGTAAAATTTGATAAGAAAAGTGGAAAGCGAAAATATAAGGGCTGAAAACATAATTAGTTTGGACTCCTGTATGATAAATAACTTCTTAATAAGTGTCAGGGAAAACATCCTGAAGTTTCATCCATGTGAGTACCTCATGCAGGTGTGGGCTAGGTGAGGCAAATTGCAGGAGAGCAGTATGCTTTCAAAGTTTTTTCTTTCACTGAATGTTTCCTGGCTTCAGGGATAGAAACCATAATGGCAGCTAGACATAATGAGTGGGAGCTCAGTGAAGTGGAGGGATTTGTTTAGTCTTGTCTTGAACCTTAATGGGATGAAATTAGCAGAATTCCTTGAAATAGAAACTCCCTGACAGTTTTGCTAAATAACCCTCAAAATTAGCAAATACTTAACAAAGAGGAGGGTTGCTGCATAGAATGAAGCCGTGGATGTGTTAGATAAGGAAAAAAAGCCCAAAAGGGAACAAGAAACTCTTATTCTACAACATTGCTAAAATTTCCTAAAGGGACCAAAAAAGCCAACATAGATGTAATGAAAGGGGTTAGCTTGAGCTGTTTTCTGATGAATTCTGAACCACTCAGTAGTTCTCTGACCAAGTAACACCATCAGAGAAGAGAGTTGACAGAATTTATTGAAAATTTATCAAGAAATGTGGAGCTTCACTGTCCCTGACTCTTAATTGTAGTTTGCTTCTTCAGCACGAGCTGAAACAAGTAGGGTAATAAAGAATACAGTGTCTGTATTCATACTTGTCTCTGTACTTATGGCATAGTATGATGACTGTGTTGTATAGAAGATACTTTTGGAACTGAAACGAATAATCTGTGATAAGTGTATGGCCAAAAATCTGAAATTAAGCCCACATAAACTGGAACTGCTTCAAAAAGTTGTGTTCCTTTGGTCTGTGGTCAAGGAAGAGGGAATTCCTACTAGTGATGACAACATATACTATATAGGGATTACTAGTACTATAAGCACTCCCAGATGTGTGCAGTTTTACAGATTTTAAAAATAGCTGCTTTTGTGCAAGGAGAAAGAAATCCATTTGAATGTGACTTGACACTGACATGGTTAAAACCATCTGTGTTGGCCTCCTTGGGTTTCAAAACGGATTCTTGCATTCATGAGCTTGGATGGTCTTGAAACAAACAAAAAGGCTAACAAGATCAATGAGTCAAACAGAAAATCTGAGCTCTATAAAAATAGAAGTAAATGCGCCACTGAGTATTGGGTAAGTCTAAGGAGTATAAGGAATCTTTGTGACTGAGTCACTGTCTGCATTTGGCTCCTTGGAATCAGCAATCCTCAGACCCCTGGCCAGCTGGAAAATCTGCAGAGTAATGATGTCATGGCATCTGACATGGATGTCAGACAGAGATGTGGCACTGCTGAAGTGTGGGCCGCAGTAGAAGGTGGGGAAAAGTTAATCACTGGGTTTTTCTTGAAGTTGGATAGAAGGTGCTGGTCTGCAGTAAGTGTACTCATATCTTCTTTGAAAGTCTGTATGGTTGCAGGTTCTGTAGGCACAAATGGGATTTGATCACTCTAAGTAACTGATGAGTTTGGCTGCGGCTGCACAGAACCCAACACAAGTTACAAAATTCAAGTGAAGCTATCTGTGAACCTGAATTAAGGTGTAAGGGCCCAAGTGGAGCCAAGATATGTAATACTAGGGTACCTGAGAAGGCTGTCTGAAAACTAGTAGGTTTGACAATGAGTTGTGGTTAAGTATTACAATTTGCATAAAAGATTAAAAAAAAAGTGTAAAGTCTGAAAAAACAGATACCAGAACACATATGTTTAAAAGTAAAAAGGAAGATACAAATTGCATGGAGATTTCTTGATAAAATAAAAAAGCTTGCATCTTACTAGAGTTTAAATAATTGTTTTAAGAACTAGGAATTATTAGTGATTGATTAGTATGCTTATTGGTGCAACTGAAAGGGGGTTTCCAAGGCTATGTCATGATTCAATATCACCAGACTTCTGTCTGCCTCTTACATAGGGATACCAGTATCTCATATGAATTGTGATTGATTAATGATCTGAAATGTGATCTGAAATGTGTTATGTGTTTTTTATCACACTGTTTATTCCTTGGACCTAGTGTGTGTGAATCACTTCAGAGGTGTTGAAATTTGTTCCAAGGACCAGTTATAGTTCTTAAAAAATACAGTGCATAATCCTCTCAATGCTTCTTTAAGCAGACACTGTATAAGCAGTTGATATTCTCGTAGCCCAAGTAGTCTGTCTACAGGATCATTAATTTAAAACCAATAATTAAATATAAAACCAAAATGTCTATTTTCAAAAATGGCACACTGAGTTCTTTCAAAGTTGAAAGTGCCACTGGAACCATTTTCTAATGGCTGTTTAATGGTTGTGTGATTCCAGTTGGTTTAGAAAGGTTTGAGAAGATCATCAGGCCAATATCTAGGAGAGTAAGAAATAGAGGTGGATTTTAGGGAAGTAGATCAGTAAATTCAAATGTGTGGAAGATACATTTTTTTAGGAAACTGGTCTGAGAGATAAGAGAGCCAAAGGGAGGCAGATATTCCTTGAATACATGAGTAGTAAGGACATACATAATTGTCCATTCTGCATGAAAAATAAGAAATATATTAAGATAGCAGCTTTTAAAAATTGTTCTTTACGTCAGTGAGAGAAGGACAGAAAGGAAAATAAAAGATCAGGTTATTATGAGAAGCATAGCAAAACTAGGAAAATAATGGCACAAAAAAGAAACAAATTGGATGAGTAACAGGAAATCATCATCTGTGTGCTCTAGCATTAACAGAAAAATCAAGGAAATTGTCATCTGTGAAGAGACAAATTTGGTTATTTTGAAGAAATCACACCTAGGAGGCAGATGTCATTAATGTGTTTTAATTAATCAATCTTCACTAAAATGACCATCTGCAAGAGGTAGCTATTTCAGTGCAGCCCAGTGAGAAAGAAGGGAGAATCTCAGCCTTGAGTGAGGCATGTGCACTTTGGAGACAGTTAGGATTGGTAGATTCTCCTGAAGTAGCTGAGCCTGGAGTACCTCCTCCCAGTGTGACTGCAGAATTATCTGTTGTAACCAACTGCCTCTGCAGCCAGACCTGGGATAGGGTGGTTGCTCATGGCCTTGTAGTGTGTGAGCTCTGTGTTGGCAACTGAAGTGAAAATTGTATTGGTATTTGAAGTTACTTTGTCTTCTGCTGTTCTGTCACTGGGGAGTGAAATAGGTTCCTGTCCTACAAAGTTATTCCAGTTTCCCACCTGTAATTAGATTCTGCACAGGTTTGGTCTTCTGCATCTAGAGATGTGCAGCTGCCACACTAAAAGGCTTTAGAGAGGTTTTGCTTATAGTAGTTGCTAGTTTAAAGACAGTTACTGAATTATAGATTTTGTTTGGGCTGTTTAATTTGCATTCTTCACAGCTGGGCAAAATATCAATGTCTAAAAACTCATTCCTGTACTAGACTTAGAGCAAGTAATAGAACAGTTCTAATTCTAGCCTGAAACTGGTGGTCTGTTTAGTTAAAAACACATCAAATGTAATAGTCATTAAAGTGGTATTTTGTTCTAGGCAATGTTGCACTCTGTTGTTACAACCCACCCCTAAAGGCAGGTGTAACTGAGGTTCTTGTTAATAGATCCCTTGGTGTGGATTAGAGTGAAATGACACTGAATGACCAGTGTTTATATTTCTATATACCTGTACCTATATCTGCATGTAGGGTTTACTTTAAAAAACTTTGCTTGCAATGAAAAGGAGGTATGTAGCCAATTTGGTTATTATCTACAGTAATATAAGAATAAAAGTACAAAGATATCACTTAAGAAGATACATGAGAAAAAGAAGAAGAAAGGATAAGATGATTGAAAGATATCACCACTGGTGGATCCAGCAATGAGACTTGATTGTTGCAATTTAGATGTGTGTTGGTCAAAATGATGGCCACAGTCTTGATTCATTGGGGTTGGGGGAAGCCTCCCACCACATAAAGTTCAGTGGATTAAAATAGATTCCATTCAGGTGGAGTTTAGGGGTGAGTTTAACACTCTGCTGCAACACTGTGGATCATGCACAGTCCTCAGCTGGAAGGCCCCAGAAACGAGTGTGGGGGCACTTTTGGGGCCTTTGGTGGTTTGTGACACATTGAAAGACATGACAGATGCCTCTCACATCAGGGTAGTTGAGCCAGTCCTGCCCCATCAGAAGGGATGAACACCTTCATGTGTGAATGGAGGGGAGAGTTTACTCATCTGAGCCAGCTGTGTAAGGGAGGACATTGGCAAGATAAAAAGCGCTATCCCACCTAGCAGGACTTGCTTCTTATCAGCCTTCTCCCTTATCTGGCTCAAAACCCAGCTTGTTGCTAAACAAAGGTTGGTTTGTCATGATCATCCTCTGGCGGTGGGTGTGCAGCCCCTCTGTCTGATGCAGATCAGAGGTTTTTCCAACACACAATCTCTCCTTCTCTTCTTAGGTTTTGGGGGTGCAACCCTGGTCTCAGCAAAGCATCCTGCTGCTTTTGTAAATGGCTGATTGTTTGAATCATTAACATTTCAGTCTCTCACATCTATGGAAACTAAACTAGATCAAAGTTTTATTTTTATATTTAAAATCAATATCTCAAAACTACTTTTCATAACAGAATACTGCTTTTAAAATGAGGTTTAAAGACTTTGGATAATATTTTTATGCTTTGCTAAATTAAGAGTTGTTTGGGTAGCATATTGGAGAAATATAAGTGTGTGTGTGTGTGTGTGTGATGTAAAGATATCTGTGAGGAAATGCTGGACAGATATATAGCCTCTATATGTATTTTGTATTATCACACATATTCATGCAACAAAGATACATTTCTGGAATGAAGTTTATTGATAAGGAGAACATAATTTCATAAATGCACATGTAGGGCAAATACAGAAGTACTGTAGAAATACAACAGTTACATACTGCTGCAGCAGGGTTGTTTTGTACTGCATGTTTCTCTATGTGTGTGCACATGCAGCTTTGTATGTCTCAGTGTGGATGGCAGTGGATTCAGCAGCTGGAGCTTCTTCTGTTTTTCAACATCTATGGGTGCACATAGAAGTCAGAGGGTCTCACAGAGATGATTCTGTCAACTACAGAACGGTGGGGAATAGGCTACATGTGGGTCCAGCACATCCTGCCACAGTCTGCAGTTACTGAATATCTCCTAATTCTGTCGCCTATAGAATTCCCCACCTATAGGTGGGGAATAGGCTACCTGTGGGTCCAGCACATCCTGCCACAGTCTGCAGTTACTGAATATCTCCTTTTGCTTTGAGAGAAGGGCTGAAACTGCTTTTTTGTCTTTGGCACTACAAAACGACTTTGTGTGTGATAAGAATCTTTTTTTTTTGATTGCATGAACTAAAGATTAAATAGCTATTAATATAGTAATTACTGAGACAGGAATCTAATGGTGTGGTTGTGAAAAGTGTCACGGAGTACCTTAGAGTGAGAAGTGTCTATAATCACTCTTAGATGACTGAAGTACATGCTGCTAATATTAGATGTGGTTTTGTCTCTTAGACCCAGGCCTTTTCTTGCATACAGCTTTGTCCCATCCCTTCTGCTGGCAAAATCTTCAGGTAGCAATACTGTGAGCTGAATCTGTAGCAACCTGAGGGAAACCTGTAGCAACCTGAGGGAATCTGTAGCAACCTGAGAGGAAAAAAGATGAGGTCAGACCCTGATCTGATTCACACTGCAGCTGTATTAACACCTGGGCAAGGCAGATTGTATGTAAGCAGGGCTGAGGACTAGGAAGGTGTGCAGGACTTCCCACTTGGCAGCAGGCCACCTTTGGTTTCTGGATCTGAGGCTGAAGTGACTGTTGTAAGCGAGGTCAGAAAATTTTTTGTTATTCTAACTGATAACACAGATATAAAAGTGGCTCTGAAAACTGACTGCAGAAATGGTGGTTCTCTTTTTCAGGATAAAATATAGCTGCAATAAATATTTATCACTGGGTTATGTGCCTATTTTGTCTGTTTTGTCTTCTTGGCAGAATCAAGATCTAAAATAAAAAAAAAAAAACATTCTAAGAAATTTGTAACATATCCATCAGGTTTAAAATCAAATGTGACATTCTTTCACTGCTGTTTATTCCATGTGTTGAAATTTAAAGCTCCCTGTGGACTATGTTGTTAGAGAAATACTGGTTAATGAAGCATTTAATAAATATTTGGTGTATATATTTAGCAGATTCTGTAAGAATATCAGAGTTCTAGTACAGGGTAAAAATGAGGAGCTGTGGAGTACTAGGACTAGCAGAGATCAGTATAAAATTAAAGAGCTCAGTTCCAGAGAATGAAGATAGAAGCATATTTTACCCTCAGTGGTTGTTCCATGCTATGCTTTTCTTAATGATGTGTCACTGTTTGCTTAATTAAAAATCCCTGTTGATTCCATTGATAATGTAGCCAAAAGAAATAGTGCAATACCAGTTCTTTTGGCCTCTGTCACTGTACTGCATATTGTAAAAAAAAGATTAAGATATGTTAAGAAATTGAAGTGTTTCTTAAATTCTGCTAAAATATACATTATGTGCATACATTTATATATATATGCATACACACAATTTTCTAGAAAATAGTAAGTGTAATTTTACAAGTCATAAGTGTCGGCAACTTCTGTTCATGCCATTTTGGACATGATTAAAGTGAGAGGAACCAAAGCATAAGTTTAGTGGGATCATTTTCCAGGAAAAATCAGGAAAAATGATGGTATTTCACAACATGATATTGATGGTATCTGCAGAGCATTTATTCAGGCATTTGTTGCCTGTAGCTTAAATGACTTCACTGTGTAATAGGTGTACTTTACAAAAGAAGTAGTATTATACTGTTTTAGTGTAATAAAAATGCTACTTGTGCAATAAGGCATGAACTTTGATCTCATTACACAGGTTGTGTATGCAAGTGGTTGAAATTGTGTTTACAGGCTAGTTTGTGCCCCTAATTAAGACCTTCGTTATAAAACAGAATTCTTCATCAAGATGACCACTTCCTGAGTCTTTAACATGTATTTCCAGGCTTGCAAGGGAGTGGCAGGTTTGGTTGGAGTTCTGCAGGAAAACAGAAACTGAAGTAGCTTAATTTTTCTTAGAAATACTCAAAATTGCATAAACTGATGTACAGGTATGCTGAAGAGGTACTTAGAGATCCATATAATCTGAAATTAGGACCCTGCTGTGGCTCAGCCTGTTCACTGACTGCACTGCAGAGTATGCCAGTGTCAGTATTACAACATGGATATACAGGTGCCATTTGGAAAAAAAAAGAAGTATGAAGATTAACTTAAATGTGGCTAATTTGTGAGACATCATACCAGGATGTACCTGAAGGGTTGAAACACAGATGTTGAAAGCTTAGAAACTTCCTAAGAAGAGGAAATTAAATAAAATGATGAGATTTTTCCTGTCTCCCTTTTCATTCCATTTCTTCACCACGGAAGCTTCTGCACTCACTTCTGCTGCTTAAGCGTCTGAGTAATTGTGCCTTGAGTGCATGGTCAGGTGCCACCAGTGGTGATGCTTATCAGCAGTGTTGGACCATTAGTAGAATGAGGTCTTTAGAAGGTGTGGCTTCCTGAAATTCTTGAACATTTCCTTAGTTTGTCCTGTCAATAGGTTTGGACATATTCTTGTTGATAGCTTCAGACCTTTTTCTTATTTATGTATTTTGTTTGTTGGCAGAGATGTGCTACTTTTAAAGATCTGCCTGAAGATCACTGCAAAGTGACAGTGTAGGTTGTAGTCAATTTTTCAGCAGCATAGCTTAGGTTTGAAGGATGCCTGGGTCAAAACATAGTGAAAGGTAATACTGAGGCTGCTGAATTGTCAAGATCCCCAGGATTTTTGCACCTGTATTTCCATGAGGTGATGGAAAGCCACAGTTAGTTTGGGCTGGCACATCCAATTCCTTGTGGAATTTATGGAGTGGCAAAAAAGTTGCCAGAACTGTCTTGCAAAGGCAAGGATCTGAGTAACTCTGTTGCCATAAAATTAGAGTTCAACCTCTCGAATCTTTTTCAAACCTTTTTTTAGGTGTTGTGAACAATATCATCCTCGGATGAGGGAAAAAAGGGAAGGTTGCAGCCTCCTTTTTATCGTATTTGTTGGTATTACTGGGAAGAAGTTTTACTCTTTTCCAATTGAGAGTGCATATTGCTTTGAATTTTTGGTACTTTTACATCATTTGTGATAATTTCCATTCTGTATTCCTCTTGCTATCCATGCCAATCTTCATAGTTTGTCATCAAAGTCTGTTTGAAAACAGCTGCAAAACACTAATTCAGCTCCTGGCCTAATTTATATATATATATATTTTTCAAACTCACCAAATCATGTTATGCCATTTTTGTACTTTTATTTTTTTAAAATTTTTTTGTTTTGTTATTAATTTTTGGCTCTACTTTGCTGTACTGTGCCAGGAAAAAAGTTGGCAGGTTCCATTCAATTTCCATGTTATTGTTGAGGTTAAATGACCCTCATAATCATTGCAGCATTTTTCAGCTCTTCAGTAGTAGTTGATAGCCTGTTTGTAACATTTCTTCATATAATCAGATTGGGACTCTGCTCTAGTTGTCTGGAACACAGTTCCCTAAGTATCCTACTGCCTTTGAGGATGCTTCAGTCTCTAAATTCCTTAGTTCATTTGGGTTCCCTTAAGAGGCCCCTTGGTTTACTGAAGTTTTTGATAATTGCATTATGAAACTATTATTTTTGCTCTTTCATTTAATTTATGCTAACTCAGCTTTCAATGTTAAAGTGTTGAAGTCTTCATTACATGGCAAAATAAAATTTAAACAGTGTAAGTTCTTGTTAGTACTGGATGTTTGTTATGCACGTTTGTTGGTTGTAACATCCCATAGTGAGTCACCTACACTGCAGTCATTACCTGATACTGCAGTTAGTTGTAGTCTTTGTCAGGAAGTTTGTCTCCTGTCACAACAGCAAATAATATTTCACTTTCCAGTGATGTTCCAGTGATCATTATCCAAGATTATATCTGACTGTGGATGTCATAAAAAGTGTTTCCTTCATAATGCCTTGTAGCTTAGTGAGTGCCCCACAGCTGTCATCTTTAGTACTCTCTTTCCTGGATGGTATCTGTCCTTCTATATCTATGCTCCAGTTCTGAATTCTGTGTTGTCAAGCTTATGTTTTTTCCTTAAACTTTTTTTTTTTTTTACATCCTATAACTGTAATTCCAGATCTTCTATTGTGTTGAGAAAGCTTTACACATCAGAGTTGTTTCTTACTCCATTATTATATAGAGCAGACTCAGGCATGTAATCTTCTTTTACCTGACTGCTGTTCACAGTCAATTATTTTTCTTTTCCATAGGTTCCCCTGTTACCACAGGATTACTTAATCCGTGTCTGGATTCTCATTTACCCTATATTTTTTGCTTCCTCTAGTGTTTGGAGATCTATAATTTCTTAGTTTGAAGCTGTTCTTAACAGCTGTGTCAGCTTTGATCCTAGGTTGCTATTCCCTGGAACGTTCAAGTCAAATTTATCTGTTGAAAAGTTACTTCCTTCAATAAATGCACCTCAACAGTCAAACACTACAGATGTTTCTTATACCACTCATCATTTAACTATTGGTTAGTCTAATCTCTTACTAGACATTTTACTCCTCTTGTGACTTGATGCCCCTGAAGTTCACACAAATATCTATTTGTTTGAAACTATTCCCTGAAAGAGTTAGTCCTCTTTATTTTTTTTCCCAGTGGGAATTGGGCAGTACTGGTTTTGAGGGCTTGTAACTGTTTCTCAGGTTCCTTGTGATGCTTCCCAGTTGCAGGTCCACCTGCCAGTAACAGACATGATGCCATTTTGGTTTTTTGATCCCTTTCCGTGGGCAGACTGTCACAAGTAGCAAGGAGGCTGTGGTTGTACAGACCTGCTCTTGTGATTTTAAGCCCAGCTGAAGATTAAACCAGGACTACTTGCCTCTCCATGTGTTGCTGTAAATCTCCAGCCTTTACTTATGAGCATCACTTTTAATTCCATCTGGAACTCTGAATGTCTCTTTTTTTTCGTTGTTCCTATGTACTGACTTGATTCTCCTTGAGTTGCCAAAACCTGATATTCTTGTTGTCTCATTTCAGAGCAGGCATATTTTGTTCCTTCATGCTACCCTTATTTTTTTACTTTTTTTTTTTCTCTGGGGCATCAAACCTCCTTTTCTGTTCTGTTTCGTAGTCACAAATTACTATAGTACTTCAACTTCTCCTTGTCTTTTCCTTCTGTTGGTAGTTATCCTCAGCAAGCAATGTTTTTCACTTCTTGTTCTGGTTTACAACTGAAGGTTTCATAGAGATATTCCTCTCTTCCCTTTTGTTCCTAAAGACATGTTGTCTCTAACATCATCAACTGAATTCTGAGCCCTTATGAGCTCATTGTGTGTGTATTTTCCAGGTATCCCACTGAATGATAATAAAGATCCCACTCTTTCATTACTTAGTATCCTTATCCTACTACGCTTCAGGGATAATCATCACCCTTTAATAAAGTCTAATCACCTTTACCTAACCACTCTGTTATTCCTTCTTGGAGTTGTGACTAGAAGATATGGTCACTCTGCACTAATTTTACACTCTTTTTTTAATATTGAACTAGGTTATTTTGAATTGACAAATTACTTGCTGTTTTCAAGGATGATGTAATCATCATCGTCTATGTTACTACTTGTGCCTTGAAACTTTTCTCTTGGTAAAGATACTACACACACACACACACACGCACACAGAGTATATGTTTTTGTACTATTAAATGAGGCAGGGACAAGTGGTGCCTCTCTTGCTCTCTTGCTCTACAAGACTTTTTGTTTAATGCATAGAAGACTATATGGTCATTTCTTTCACTACCCATAACATAGTGACAACTCAGACCAAATGCATATTACTGGTGTGTGTTGTGAAGGAAATTTTTTGATTACAAAAAATTCCCTTCACAACAGCATGCTGTGGGTAAAGAGCATGAATTTTAAAAAAAAAAAGTTTTCAGGGAAGAATTGAAAGCATAAACATAAGTAATAAATCATTGTTCTGTGTGGGTTCCAAAAGTAAGTGTTGTGGAGACCTGTAAGTCTAAGAAGTGATTAATATATGAAAGAGGAGACAATATTGCTGAAAAATTAAAATTTTTGTTTTTTTAATGTACATTTAGGAAGAATTGGTTGAGATTTTTCAAATGATAAGACTTTTTGATAGGGAAAAGTGTTATAGGATCTTTCTCAAATTTGTTTATTGATGGATCTTTCTGAAATCTAGTTATTTGGATGGATGAAATCTCTGGCCAAACAGATGGAAAAGGAAAGACACGTCTACTGACAGAGATGACATTCACTTAGGAGCTCTAAAGAAACTTGGAGGTGAAACAGCTAAAACATTACTACATGTAAGTAAATTCGCTGTTAGGTAAGTTAGAGCAAACTTTTTTGAAGAACATAGAAAAGATATATTGGCATAATTCATCTTCTGTCAAAAAAAAACCAACCAAACAAAACAAAACAAGAAAATCAGGTCTGACAGTTTTTTCTGGATTTGGTAAATGTATTTCCCAAAGCAGTTTATCATGATTTCTTGCAAAAATCTTCTAAGAACTAAGAGACCATGAGATAACCATGGGAAGGTTTTCATATGGACTAATAGTGGATTATAAACTAGGGTAAACCATCATTTGTCACAGTGGACGGAATTTGCCAACAAAGTCAACTATTCTGTGCTGCAGTATGTTCTTTAGCATATTCCTAAATGATCAGAAGAAGAAAGAATACTGAGGCAACAGTTTGCTAGTGATACCATCTATTCTTGATAAAGAGCTGCAAAGCAATCCAAGAATGCTATGATAAAACAGCTGATTAAATTCAATGTAGATTAATAGATAATTATGCCCTTGGGAGTGGGGGAGGAGGCTCGGCAAGGAAAGAATGGTCCTAATTTGACGTATTCTTGTATGGGTTGTGAGCTGACTATTACAACCCTAAATCTCATTCTGAGTGGTAATAGATATCCTTATGGAAACAGGAGAGCAGTGCTGAATGGGAGTCAAAAATCAGATAGAATATTATGAATTATTGTGAAAGGAACAGAGAACAAATCTGAACCTCATTATGCCACTTTGCAAATTCATCATGTACAATCATTGTGAATATAGTATGGAATGCTAGTTTCTCAAATTAAAAAGAATATTACCGAATGAGAAAAAGCAGTTGAAAAGAAAAGGAGATGGGGATGATGTAAGAATGAAGTATCTGAGTTTCATTTTTGAACTGAAAATAGAAGAAAATAAATATGAACTTGTTTGCCTGTGATGTGACTGAAGAGCCATTTTCTCTCTCTTTTTTTCTCTATTTTTTCTCTTTCTTTTCTCTTCTCTCTCTCTTCTCTCTTTCTTCTGTCTTCTCCCTTTCCCTTTCCATTTCCCTTCCCCTTCTCTGTTCCCACCCCCATACCCCTTCCCCTTCTCCCTTCTCCCTTCTCCTTCTTCCTTCTCCCTCTTTTCCTTCCTTGTTTTGTGATGAATTAATATGCAATATATGAAATCAGAATAGCCAAAAGCACTCTACTGTGTAGCTCAGGACTAACACTTGACAAAAGTGACTTTTTCCTATGAAGGAAGCAGGTTTGGGCATAGATATGTGGAGTGCAGATCTGATCCTGCCATTCATGATGAAGGATCCAAAATACTGCAGGGATGAAAGAATATTGGTGTGTGGAAGACAAAAAAAGTGCACACAGTTTGAGAAGAGACAAGAATTGTGGTGGAATTGTGTCACTTTGCAAGAGCTTACAAGACCTCAAAACACGTCAGTATGCTAACAGCACTGCTAGATTAAAATAATTCCTGATAAAGAAAATGTATAATATTATAATAGTAATCTGATATCAAATGGGATTTTTTTATCTTTTTTTTTTTAATTTTTAGATGGATTGAGCCTTGTCACATATGCCACAATGAGGCCAAGAACAAGCATTGAAACAGAAGACAGATGTAGCAAAGGAAGATGGATACACTTTGGGGCATAGGCTTGAAAACAATATTCTAAGGGAATGTGGTAAAAACAACCCTATGTGAAGAAAAGCCATTTGAATATGTGAAAACTGTGTGAAAATATGTAAAGGGCTCAGCTTGAAAAGATGTTAGTTTAAGTAAAATAATGGTAAACCCTTTTCAACAGGAGGGGGTAACAGCTGGAAGAATAAGAACATTTGAAGAAATATTTGAGGAAAGAGAAAGGAAGTTTAAACATGCTCAAAAAGTTAAATTCCCTCAATTCTGTCATGATATGTATCCTGCAGCAGAGTGTGATAACCCTCTTGTTCTGCAGAGTCTAGGGAAAATAATCCATAGTGTGAGTGCAGTTGCTGTTCTCTGTAAGGGTGGAAAAAACCCTCACATGGAAAAATGTTTTTAAAATTCATATATCCTCAATAACTGTTTAAATAAAGAAAACTATTTTCAGTGCTGCAGTTAGAGCAATCTGGTAGGCAATGCTTGAGCTCAGTGCTTTTTGTTGTTTGTTTGTGGTTTATTTTGTTGTTTAAATTTTTCTCGATGCAGTGATAGATGTCTGGTAAGCGTCTTGGGAGAAAGAGGTGCTGTACAAACATCTGTAGGTTTTCAGCAATCTGTTTGGAAAACATTGTTTCTTTAGAGTGCTACATTAGTTATCATTGGCATCCAATGCATTTCACAATCCGGAATGAGAAAAAATTAGTCCTGGAGTGAGCACTAAGGCTTGTATACTGAATTTTGATTCAGAACAAAACTTTAGAGACTTCTTGCTACAGGAAGGAGGCTTTCACTAGAGACAGAGCACTAAGCTGAAGTGAATGAAGGAAACTTACACACTGCCATGTCCAACATCGCTTCTTGGAAGTTGACCCTTCCAAGACCCTTCCAATCTTGCTTTAAAAAGACTTCAGATAAACAGTGCTGTTATTATGCTATTAGGACTTGGACCATAAGAATATATGTATAAACAATTTGCCTGTGAAATATATTAACACAGGCAAAAAATGAAGCAGGAAAATACATCTGGGGAGTGTAGGGGGGAAAAATAGCCCATACAGTGAAATGAACAGAGTTGCTAGCCTTGGCTGCCCATCTGTTCTTTCACTCCTCTGAGAAAGCCCTCCCTGAACATGCTGTCACTAAAAAGGTCACCAAAAAACCAAGTCCATTTGGACTAGCCCCTGTTTAATTTAATAATAGCTCCTATTGGGAGATTAGGCTGTTAAATCCAGCAAACCGTGCATATAGCTATTCCACCACAGGATTGTGGAGAGAGTAAAGCCCCTCCTAGAGCTGAAGAGGAATGCAGGGTCCAGTCAACAGTGTGTTTCAGCCACAAATGGACAAAACAAAGCTTGGTTTGCTGTCTGCTTTTTTGTTTAGCTCAGAAAACTGAAAATATGCATGTCTGCAGAGTTAGATTGTTGTATTTGAACTGCAGGTGTATCTTGGCAGAGCAAAATGAAAACTTCAGCATTTTGGTGTTCAGGACAGACCCATAATTCATAAAAACAACACTGTGCTATGATGTTACAGAACTGAGTGATTCAGCTACTATTGGAGAAACAGATACAGTTTTAAACACTGTGTTGGAAAACAATTTCTTATATATCAGCATGTACTGCAGAGAAGTAGATGTTTTCTTCTCTGCATTCAGCAGGAGATGAATTAGTCGTCACTCAACCAGCCATTTTGCTCAAGAAAAATTTTAGAAAGTAGACATAGTGGGTGGGGTGTCATTGGAGTAGGAGGGGACCTATGGGTTAGAAGCAATTCTCTGCAACTAATTTAGGGTGTTATTTTCTCAAATGGAGATGGAACAGTGACTTACAACTGTGATAGTATCACAGGAAGTCTGAGAGGGTTAGGTAGTGAGTTATTTAATGTTTTATTGGGGAGAGAAAATAAAAGTAAAATTCCTCAAACTGCCTTTGCAAGAGGTTTTTGAAAATGGTTGTTGAGCAGTGTAGAAATTCATGTAAGCTACAGCAAATTCGTTAGATCTCATACATTAAATAAAATGTGCTTTTGCCAGGCTTCTTGGCTCTGAACACTACAGAAAGATACAAAACGCTTTTCTCTCATTGTCTCAGTAGATATTTTAGATTAGAATAGCTTAAACAGGAAAAGCATCAGAACATCCCAGCAAATTACTAAGAGTTTTGTGTTTCAGGCATTCTGCAAAGAGCAGTTACTGAGTTCAGATCTCCTCAGGAGGAGAGCTGTTAAGTAGCTTAGTACATGCAATGAGTTGGCTGTTTTAAATCCAGGGTAACACCTGTGGTAAAAATAAAATGTTGCTTGCCAGGGAAAATGAAATATTTTGGTTTGTTCAAAAATGGAAGTAGCTTTGCTTTCCCATATTGTTGAGGACAAAACAAACATGTTCTTATCTGCTACTGTCAAGATGAGTTTCTTGTTTTTCTTGGTCAGGTTTAATGTTCATTCTCCAAGCAGAAATCCATTGTTCTCTCAGCCCTGCTCTTTCTCTCTTAGTGATTATCTGCTCCCCAGTCATTTGCAGAATGATGAGCTGAACTTTAATATGTGCTCTGAGGCCCTACACACCAGAGGGGAAGTGACTGTGACCGCCTGCATGCTGCTGAACTCAGTGCAGTGTAAAACAGTGTCCACTTCTATATATATGCTTTCTTGTAGGGGATACAGGGTAGAGGGTAAAAGGAATAACATGGTACTTTCACTGAAATGTAATTAAACCAGCTAAATTGGAATAAGGAACATATAAATTAAAATATTTTTATTCATGAGACTTTTAATACTGGTTAATAGATTAATGATGTGTCTTTTTTAAAACTGCAGACTTCTGATTAGAAAAATATCAGGAGTCTATAAATATTCTGCAGATTAGTAGAGGTATAAAACCTACATTAGCAAATTCTTTGTGAGCAATCAGGGAGCACAGAATAAACACAGGAAATGTTTTATACTACAATAGATAGCCGGTCAGTGTTTGGCTTTTATTGAAGGATATGCCTTAAAATGAGGCTACTGATTACCTGTATTTTTTCCCCCCAGATTTTACTCATGTCCCACAGGTGTCCTCATAATGAACTTAAGTTTTGACAAGGATAAATTGCATTTCAATTAAATGTGACTGTTTTGGTACTTCTACAAAGTAATTGATCTTTTCTTAGAAAGGACCATTAGATCACTTAGTTCCAGATGGCAAGGTAGCAAACTCCTAGGTCATTACATGCATACAGCTTAACAACTCATAATCTATCCTACTTTTTCAGAAGTGTAGGTAACCTAAATTTCTAACCTATAAGAGGCAATTCAATATTCTATCTCATTGTTAAAAAAATTGATAACTTAATTCTATTTAAGTTTGTTTAGTGTTAGTGATCCTTACGGATTCTGCTTTTTACTTTTCTCCACAAAACAGCCTTTTAAACTGCTTGTTTCAATGAAAATAGTCATTCACTCAAAATCACAACTTAATCTTCTTTTGGAAAACTAAGCCAATGCAGTTATTGAAATTAATGTGAGGCTTTATTCAGTCTAAATCACTTCTGTGCTTCCTCTGTCTATAATTACATATTATTTTTGAGAGTAGTGCAGTATCTTCAATGTAGATCAAGGACACAAAGAGGTAAATTGTATCTTGATATTCTCACTTGCTGCTATTCTGTTTACACACACAAAGTAGCCTTTTTTTGGGTGGCAGAACTGGGCTGGAAACTGTTCAGCAGTTTGACAATTATTTGGGAGACATAAGGGATGAAGTTACTATTTTACTGGATAGAGTCCTTCAGTAAAATTCAAGCAGGTATTCCTTGCTTCTGTATCTATTTGACTGTATTAAGGTATGTGCTGTAAGAAGGGGCTTAAACTTGCTGAATTAATTTCCAGATCCCTCTGCACAGTTGCCCTGTCTGCCTTACTTAATATTCTGCAGACTATGGTGGATTTACAAAGCTGATAATGAGTAATTTTTTACTTAATTCCAGAACATTTACAAAGTATTGAAAGGCATCAAGGTTTATAACATACAAAATCATTACCACTTGATGATTGTTAGTGACTATTTACATCACTGAATAATTACTATTTAAGTTCCATAAGTTGTTCAGATCTTTATTGAATAATGAGATTTTGTGTGGCAGAACAAAGTGCTAGAGTTTTTTTTCCCATTGAAAAAAAAATGTTTCAGAGACTGCTTTTCCACTGCTGACATCTGTCTTATGTGGTCAGTGAAACACATTTTCAAACCAAATGTTTGAAGTTCCTACCTTTTATTTTTGAGGTACTTGTGATACATGATTTGCAACCCTTTCTGTAATTACAGTACCACTGAATTTGGAAGGGCCTCAGGAGATGGCCTATTCCACTGGTCATGCACAAAGCATAGGCAGCTAAAGCAAGTTGCTCAGGACTGTGCCCAGTTAAATTTCTAATATTTCCAAGGATGGAAACTCCATAACACCTCTAGGCAGCCTGTTCCAGTGTTTGAATAATGAATTTTTTGTCTGATGTTAAAATGAAATTTCTTCTATTACAGTTTGTACGCCTTGCCTCTTGCCATACCACTGAATATGACTGAGTCTGACTCCATCATCTTCATTTCTACCTTTTCATACACATTGCTAAGATTACTGTGAGCCTTCTCTGTCATGTACCGAACAGTTCTAGCTTTCTCAAGCACTTACTTTTTTATATGCTACAGTCCTCATGCCCTTTCATTAGACTCAGTCCCGGGATTCCTGAAGGAAGTCTTATTAATGAAGTTCTAGGTGAAGCACCTTGGCCTTTACCCCTGTCCATTATCACCGGGTTCCCTGCCCCATTCAGTGTCATTGCTTTTTCACCTATGAGTCCTTTTGCTGTGGGAAGGCCTCTGGAAGCCCTTATTGCCTTTCATGTCCCTCACTGGATTTGACTTCAGGTGGGCTTTGGCTTTCCTAATCACGTCCTTGGGTGTTCAGTGCCTACATATTTCTCCTGTGTGACCTGAGTCTACATCCCTCCCTTTCATGGCTCCATTTCTTGTTTAAGTTTAGTCAGGAACTCCTTGTTCACCCACATGGGTCTCCTGAAATCTTTGTCTGAATTCCTACAGGTGGAGATGGATCATTCTTGAATCTGGAGGATATGTTCTGTAAAGAGCAACCATTCTGCAAGCATTTGGAAATTTGATTGCAAACAGCAAAGGACTTGTAACTGCAAATAGTGGAGCAATAGAACTGTTTTAAAGTTAGGGTTGTAAATTTCTTGGTTAAGTGGAAATACTACAGAATTTTTATTTCCTTTAATTTTTGTCTGCACATGGAAATACAGGTATGTGAAAAAACATAAATGAGAGAATTTGGAAAAGGAGATGCAAATTTATCTGTGAAGTTTTGGCTTTGAATGAAGAGCATGAAAGTGTAGGGTAACTAGAAATTTA